TGATAATTTTTGTGAGTGAGAATCTAGACGTCAATTTCTTTTTGCTTTTCTTGAAATTAAAATTAAATTTAATTGATTAGAATAATAAAACATCAAATACAATTGCTGTTATCTTTTGAATTGTATGTTTTTCTTTGAGATGATCATATAACTAAATTACTTAAATTTCAAATAAATAATAATAATGAATCGTATCTTAAATAATTGCTAAAATAAAAATTAGGATTAACTTTCGTAATAATTGAGTTGATTTAACTAAAGAGTTTTACATGATAAAACTTTTATTCAAACATCAAAATTAAGACGCAGCCGACTTATTGCTTTTCAGTTGCTTAGTTATCATAGCAAATTCTTTTTCTTCTATTCGATGCTTTAGTCATGATTCAATTCAGGTACTCATTCTCAGTACTTAAACATAATTTCGAACTGCAATAAAAAGCTTGCTGAAATCTGTTTATTAAAAATTGATGGCATTTAGGAGATGAAAATATGCAGAAAACGATAGTTAACCGCTGATAGTTTCCTTATATGATGATGCATGATTCAATCTTAAGGCGAACATTGATATTTTGGATGTTATATGTGTAGAGACTTTATTTAATTATCTTCTTGTGTGATTTAAATTCATCCATGGTGTAGCCCTTGAACACATAGTCAATTCGTTATATGGTTTTTTTTTTTATAGACGAGATGCAAAGAATGAATAATGAACAGCTGAGATTTTCTTTCTAGAGCAAAGTGTATGATTGAGACTCATCATCAATCACTATACAGCTGGATCAAGATAGATGAATGTGATTTAAAATTCATTATCATCTACTTTAGAAAAGTTTGAGAGGAAATATAGGAAATGGCATGTATGATGGTATACAGGCGTTCAGAGTTTCGTGCAGTCAGTCGTCTTTTTTTACTTGAGCTTCACTCAAATGGCAATCTAGTATTAAAATCCTAACTACATCATATCTAATTAATCATTTGTGTTTGCTTATGAGAAAATACAGACACAAAAAAAAAAGAAGAAAATCTTATAAAATTCTTTTTCTAACAGTATGTGATAAAACAGGTGATTCTCGATTATATGATGTACGTCAAAATGAAAATATTAATAAATTTCAATATCATCATGAAAATATTCACGGATATTCAATGATGTTCTCATGAACTATAATTAGCTAGTCATAGTAATGATAATACTATTTTTGTATGAGATTTTCATCAATAATAGTCAATCAATGCAATAAACAGTGCTATAGTCGATAGTCTTTCATTACGTTTACCATCAACTGATAATAATGATAAAAAAAGCCATTATACCATTTCGAATAGTAAGAAGCAACTGTTAAAATTAATTTCCATATTTTTCCCTTTTCTTTTGTTTTTTTTTCAGTATACTGTAATTCTATTTAAATTTATTGGATGGTATTATGTCGAGAATCTGACATACTATCAATTAGAGACGACTATTCAGATGATGATTTACGTTAATGGAATAATCGTCATGAAGTGAGTCAAAAAAACTTTTCAAACAAAATCAAAAATATGATTATAAAGAATTTAATGAAGTATAAAACATACGTTCTCATTTCATTTTCATCGATTCTTTGATCAGTAAATTAAAAACAATTGTAACAGGTCAAGATCAATCAGATAGATACATGCATATTTAATATTATCCATCGAGGGAACAATGTGGAAAATAGAAAGGTACATTTTTTATTTATATTGTATTCGTGTTTTTGCTCATAAAATCATACATGATGTATTTCATTGTCAATGATGGATCTCAAAGGGAGTTCCTTTGTTAGTTGAGTCAGCTAGTGAAATAACTTGTTTTTGGCATTATTTTTAAATTAATATCCAACAAAATTTTATTTAAATGATTAATAAAACAAAAATATTTTTTTTTGTCTTTTTTTTTAATTTCTTCTTCTACCTCTTGAAGAAAGAAATTCTAAATAAGTTTTCAAGAATTTCCTCATGTAAATACTATCTTTGCAATTCTTTTCAAAACAAGTCACGTCAATGATGAGTACTATTAGCTCTACAAGATATATGGAGTTCAGCTAAAAATATCTTTCAATTGGGGAGTTTTTCATTGAAAAATGAATTAAATTTTTTTCTATATGATCAAAGAGAGACACTCATGTGTAATAATAGATGACGATAGTAAATTATTTTTACGATGAATAGTTTCATTGAAAACTAACATGCATCTATTTATAATATGCTTAATTGTTACATGAATTGTGTAAAAATAAACAAATTACATAGGTCTCATGCTTGAGTATAAATCATTTTGACCATATTTGGCATTCATATTCATATTTTCTATTAAAATTTCAAATGCAAAATCGTTAATATAGAAATGTTCTTTGTACCTTATAATTTCCATATAAACTAATATTCTAGAGAATTTTCAACTGGTAGAACTTTGTAAAGACAAGTGTTATCTTAGCAACATCAAGCATACTAGACATAAGTGTGGGACTATCTGAATAAAGTCACGTCTTATACAATTAAGCGTAGGATAGGCATATGTGTCTGATGGTTCGGCATAATCACATAAGAAGATATATTGATGTCGTGTTTGTCACTTTTTTTATTTTATTTTTTGTTATTAATATCACGGCAAGCACAATGTATTTTATTATTGGTATATTTATAAATATACTTTTGTGATGATGATAATAGTATATTTGTTTCGTTGTTTACTACATTCTCGGAAAACTATATCACATTGTCTTATTCATCAGACTACGTTAGCGTGATAATGGATAATAAAGAATCGACTTCATCACCGACAATCTTCTCTTTTCTCGAAGTATTGTTTAAACAAACAGGAAATAAAAAAAAAACGTTGTGGGAAAAGAGATGGTCGAGTAGCAATGCTTTAGATAACAGAATGAGTGTAGACATCGTCTGACGTCAATCGCTCTCGATACATCATTCTTTCTTTTAGTCATATTTTCTCATTTTTTCCAATCATCATTATTTGCTAGCAAACAAGAGAAGTACACACACACACACACACACCCTTCCCATACACATAGATAGTCACGCACACATACATACCGATGATTATAGACATTTGCCCTTAACTAAATTAGTTTGATTTACAGAATACTCTTCCATTCATTAACAGAAAATTGAAAACATCAAATACAAATGATAAATTCAACTATGTATTCTTTTAATAAAAAGGCAAATTACACATAAAAATAAGAAAAAAAGTTATCATAATGAATTTTCTCATTGTGATGTATAACATGTTTTACTTGATAAAATAGAATACTTGAATAAAGAAGAAGAACATCACAGGTATGTTTTAGTCAAAACAACATCTTATTCAGTCTTGTTGTTTTTATATAATAGTCATAATCATTTTAGAGTGATTATTATTTAGTTAAATTCATCTGTCTATGTATATGTCATGTTTTTCGAAATACGTAATAACATGATGAATCGATGAAATCGTTAATGCAGATTTTGTATTATCATTTTTACAATCAACTGTGCGTCCGGTCCTGCTTTCAGACAAGCATAAGCAAGTAGCTTTCTTTAGTTTATTTTTCTATTCTTGTTTTAATCATAACATACTCAAAAATTTTATAGTACTTCAGTGTTCATATTCATCAAATGTTACCATTATTTAATGGAAGAATCTTAGTGCGTTACCATTATTATCCTTGAGTACTTTTCTTTTACTATTTGGACTTCCTATAAGCTTTTAAAGACTTGAAGTACTTATAATTTACTTTTCATACGAGACTGTTGACGATTTTGTTTTTCTTTTGTAAAAACAATGTTGATCAACTTGTTTTATCAGAATTTCCTTCGAAGAGTACAAATTTACTATTGATTGAATTGTCCTTATACTGACTAATATTGCTATAACTTATTTATAGCAGAGATGCAACAGCAACAAACATGGACAGATTGTCAATAAGTCACATTGAAATATTCATCTAGTTGCGAAAAGAAATTGAACAAGAAAATTTATTCTATCAAAATGTGAAAGTTAATATTAAAGGTAATACATAACTTATAGACATACAATATCAATTAAATGTCTCATTTTTATAAATGATGAAAAAAATCAACTAAGTGATTCTTTTTTTGTTTTCCTTCAAAAATCCATTCTATGCACTAATGATCCTTGACAGGTAGATTTTTAACATGATAATGATAAACATTAAGAATCGATGATGTCAAAGATGAAGAAAAAACATGATCAATTTTTAACTCTTTGCTAATGTTAAATAGAAAAGGTGGCTGCTTAATTAATATCAATAGATGAATCTGTTCTATATACTTGCAATAACCTGGAAGACAAATAGGTGAGATATTATTTTATTAGTGAGTAGACTTTGATGATATCTTGAAGAAGAAATTGAGTTTTATTTTATTGCACGTTTCATCTTTATTTCTTTTCTTTTTTCTATGAAATATAACATTAGTTGATTGTATTATATTTAAAATTTCAATTATTGAAATTACTACTTGTGATCTCTATATTTTAAAGTGTTCTTTGTCAAGTTTTTTTTAGAAACTAACCATTTGAAAAAATTTTGAGAAATGCAGAGCAAAAAAAACCTACGAGAAATAGCTCAATTTTGATAAGAATTAATGCGCCATCTCAATTTATGTCTAGAGTGTGTTCCTTTTTCCTTGGTTTCCGTTCACCAACCATTTATTTTTTTTTTCATTAGGCTTTTTCCACTTTAACACGTCGCATGCGCCACCGGATTAATATCTTTGAAGTTACTTTCACAAGATAATTTTCTCTTTTTTAGATAGACTAATAGTCAACATCCGTCCCCTATTGTGATCATTCTTTCGATTGCCCCGGCTGGTAGTTAAACAGTATATGCTATAACTCACATTCAACATCTTCCTATCGTAAATATGACAACCTGTATAAAACATTGAAGATTTATATAATAATTATGATGATAAATTAAGAAAAAGACATCATCAAATTCATTATTATAAATTTATGAATGGCTTTCATTGCCACAAATTCGACTACAACTGGAAATACATCTCTTGATAAATTGACATGGTCTTTTAAAACAATTAGCATACTTATCATATGTAGCCTAATTACAATCTTCACTATATTAGGTTTGTAATTAAAAACTTTTTTTTATAACAAATCTAGGTCGAAAGTTATCATGACCAAATAGAAAAAAAAGGGAATAATGTTTTTTTTTTTTAATTTATATTTATAGGCAATGGTTTAGTCCTAATTTCAATAAAATTTCGTCTTCGTGCTCGATTATATTCCGATTATTTTATTGTAAGTTTATGTCTAGCGGATTTTTTTGTTGGTCTATTTGTGATGCCATTTATGACAATGCATTCATTATATTTACGTTGGCCATTTCATTATCATCTTTGTTATATATGGATGTCAATTGATTTTACATGTTCAACAGCATCATTTCTTACGCTTGCTGCTAGGT